GGGCGGAGGAGAGCACCACAGGCCATCAGGTGTAAGGAGAGGGCAGACACTAGCAAGAGGGCCCCCCTCCAAGCATAGGTGTTAATCAGCCACTGGAAGAGGGGGGCAAATGCAAAAGAGGAGATGCCCACTCCCGTCAGGGCCAGCCCCATGGCCAGAGATCGACGCTGAGAGAAGTAACGGGAAAGGCAGGCCAGGGTCGGAGTGAAGGTCAGGGCCCAGCCAGAGCCTGTCAAAAGGAAAACAAGGCAGGAGGCTGTGGGCTTTGAAGGTCCACCCAGCAATCCCAACACTACCCTGTAACAGACTAGGCCCTGCTTTGAACTCCCAAAGACCTGGGTATTCATAGTGCTGACTTTAACACTCTCTAGATGTGTGACTTTGTGTGTTCTGCTTACTCTCCCAGGCTCAACCACCTCATCTGCAAAATGGGGTTAACACACTTTATGGCAGTGGTTCCTAACCTTTCTAATGTTTTGACTCTTCAATACAGTTCCTCATGTTGTGGTGACCCCTCCCCCAGCCATAAGATTATTTTCATTGCTACTTCTTAACTGTATTTTTTGCTACTGTTATGAATCGTAATGTAAATATCTGATGTCGGGGTATCTGCTATGCGAGCCCCATGAAAGGATCGTTCGGCTCTCCAAAGGGATCGCTACCTACGTGTTGAGAACCGCTGCTTTATGGGATCTGGGAAGAAAAGAGATAGTGTTCCTCAAGTAACTAACACAGAACTTTGGAATTAGAGCCCCATCTCTATGGTTTCTGGTGCATTAACCTTCCTTTGCTCAGGAGTGTAAGCATCGATAAGCATTGAAAGCTTATTATTTTTTAAGTAGGCAACGATATCTATTTCGGTCGCTACCTAGCACAATCTTAAGGAAATTCTCCCTTCTATACTCCAGTCGGATGGGTTTGGGCTTGTGTTCTCTGAATATTCTCTGATTTAGTCATTCAGTTTAAGAATTCCCTTCAGGGCATAGGTTCTCCCTAAGCCATTTTGGAAAGAGGTGGACGAAGGTGAAAACCCGGAGGCTTAAGATCCAGGCCTTGGACTTCTGCCCTTACCCAGGGTCTCACCTGACAGCAGCCCAATACTCAGGTACAGGTGGGTCAAGGAGGTAGCAAATGAAGCAAGCAACATTCCCAGCGCAGCCAAGATGCCCCCAGTCATCACCACAGGCCTGGGCCCCAACTTCGTGCTCAAGGCACTGCCTATTGGGCCTGGGGAATTGGAATGGGTTCTGCGAGGTGGTCTCCGCCATCCCCCCTCAGCATCCTCCCGACCCTTTCCCCTTTCTGGTCCCCAAAGTCCCTTTTTTCTCCGAGGGTGGCAGGCCACCGCACCCGGACGCAGCACTCACTCCCAAACTGCTGCACCGCGATCCCTATGGAAGCGATCCAAGAGACTCTGGCTGCCTGCTCCTCAAACGCCGCCACAAATTCCACGAAGAAGACACCGAAGGAACGGAGCACCCCAAACACGAGCGCCGACTGGAAGAACGCTGAGAGCACCACCATCCATCCCCAGCCCCCGTCAGGGGGCTCAGCCCTGCGCACCATTCCGGAAGGAACAAAGGGGCAGCTCCTAAGAGCCCCTGCCTGATCTGAGCTTTAAACCGCTCACTTTGGCCCTCCCACCCACCCTGCTGGACGCTTAGCCCTAAGCTGGGGCTGGTCGCTAGGAAGTTACTGATAAAGCATGTGGCGCCTGCGCCTTTCACGAAGAGGAGGGAGGTCTATGAACCCGGACCTGCCACCGACACAGAGCGGGGTCAGCCCGCAGCTGAGACCCAGACTCCAGCCAGATAATTTCTTTAGAGAACAGAAAACAAAACCAGGTTCGGGCCACAACCCTAACGAGAGGTAGTCTGGTTGTGAATTATGTTATCTTTGAGGATTCAACACCTGCCTAAGTGGGACAACATCCAACACTTGGCTCGCCAATTAGGATGCAGGTCTCTAGAGCAGGGGGTGGATCCGGAGGGGCTGGGCGGGGCTTACAGCTTTGTTCAGTACCTGCAGTGAGAGAGGGGCGCATGCGTAGGGAGGGGCATGAGGTAGATCGGTCCCACGTGACAAGGGACCTACCGCGAGGGTTCTGCGGGTGCTGGGTTAATCACATATCCAGACTTACATCAAAGGGCTGATTGTGGATAAACTGGTCCTGGCCAGTCAGAAACTCACTTGCTTAGTGAGGGATCCAAGAATTGCCAGGCAGCGTGAGTACGAAGGGATAGGTTATGAGGTAAGAGTCAAACTGATAGAGCACCTGGGGCGACTAGAAAAGCCCTGGAAATTCTAGACCGCGGAGTCGAGGGCGGCCGAGGAAGAGGGAAGACAGGAAAGCGCAGACTGTGATTCTAGCTGCTCCGGAGCCAAGCTCATGGTCAATGTGGGCAATTTAGCTAGACCCTGTCTCAATTTTTTAAAAAAATAATTAAAAGGGGGTTTACAGGCCCTGTTCAACAGTAGGTCCTGGTTCAATTCCCAGTATTGCTGTTATTAAGGGGGAGGCGGAGAACGAGGATGGGTGACGTGTTGGGAGTCTTGGCATTCGTTTCTGTAATGAGAAATTTTTTTCCTGCCGTTTCTGACCCCACTAGCAGGAAACTTGCAGGTCACTGAGACCAAAAATAACTGGGGAGAGGAAGGGCGGCTGTCACACCATCCGAGTCCCCCATTACCACCTACTTTTTCCTCAACGCTGCTGGAAGCTCTCTCTTAGCCTTCTAGTACTGGCCATTTCCTAACCAGTTGTTTTTTTTTTGTTTTGTTTTTTTTTTGTTTTGTTTTTTTTAATCTTATGCTGAACTACTTAAGAGAGACAAGCTATGACCCTGGTCACTGGAGCAATCAGCCTCTTATCTAACCAGGGCTGTAGCCCGCACTGCCCCCTCACCTCGTGAGAGCCATGATTTGGGCTTCTCTCTTTTTTTATTATACCTCGGGCTCCCCAGGACTCTGACCTTGAAACCTTGGGCTCCTACACAGACCAATGGGGAAAGAGGCCAGCAAGAGGGGGATGGGATAAGAAGATACGCTTTTAAGAAATCATACTGTAGGGGCTGGAGAGATAGCTCAGCAGTCAAGAGAACTTGCCGTTCTTTCAGAGGAACGGGGTTCAGGTCTTGTCAACTCCCACACTGGTCAACACTGTAATCTGTTCCAGGGGATCTGACGCCCTCTTCTGGCCTCCACAGGCACTGTACCCATGTGGATCACTTAAATACATGTAGGCAAAACGCTATGCATAAACATAAATGCATAAACCAAGTTTGATTGCACAGGCCTGCAATCAAACCCCAGCTATTTAAGAGACTGAGGTAAGAGGGTGGCAAGCTCAAGGCATGCTGGGACTACAGACTGAGGTAAAAGCCAGCCTGTGCAATTTAGTGCGATCCTATCTTAAGGAAATAGATGGTGAACTTGGCTGTGTTGGCTCCTGTTACTCCGGTGCTTAGGAGGCAGTCAAATTTGAGACCAACCTGAACTACATACAAGACTGCCTCAAAGCCCAAGGAGGGGCTAGAGAGATGGTGTAGCGGGTGAAGTGCCTGCTTTGAGAACCTGATGACCCGAGTTCTATCCCTGATGAAACTCACAGGAACGTGGAAGGAGAGAACTGACTCCACAAAGTTGTCCTCTAACCTCCACACGTACACGTGCCATGGTGTGTGCACACAAAAGTACCGCACATGCATATACAATAATAAATTACTTAGATTTATAAAATGAAAAACCCCCCTCCCTAAACCCAAGGGGTTTTGACCTCTCATGGAAGTCCCTGGGTTCAATCCCTTACACCAAGCAAAACCAAACTAAACCATGCTACGTTTCTCAGTTGCATAAATGGAAAATAAAATGCCGAAATGCTTTGGTTCTACAGTTTTGTTATAAATAGACTCATAATATGGATATGGCAGTGGTATAGGAAATAGTTGAATCTCAAAAGAGTCCAGTCTTTAGAATCAGATCACAGTCTCAATCTTGATTTTAACACTTTTTACACAGTCAAGATACTTAACTTCTCAATCGGTGTCATCTGTGAACTGGGGAGAACACTCCCTACTTTTTAGAGCTGCCAAGGGTTAAATTAGTAAGTCAGTGCATTTTAATACATGGTAAGTAATAATAGCTGGTCTTATCTTTGATAGGGGCTAAGCTGTAACAGAAGGTGACAGAAACTTGTTTAGTGTCCGTATTTTGCTGTTTTTTTTGTTTTTTGTTTTTTTAAAAAATAACCTAGGTTATGGATTTGTTAAAAAAAAATGAAGAAATACAAGCAGCCACTAAAATAAGACTACCAGGGAGAGCATCAGACTGGAGAAAAAACACAACCACAGCCTGTAGTTGGTGAGGGTGCTTCAGAGCTCGATTTTGTCTTTATGACATCTGAGGAAAGTCCAGAGGGAGGGAACATTAGACTTAGTGACTTTTGGCCGTGGACTGGAACACACTTGTGCACCCTAGACACACAGCCATGGGGAAAGACACATGTACTGGGCGTTAGATAGACTCTAAGATGCTACAAACGGGAGGTGGACACATAGGCACTGACACTCAGCCTTCCCCTTGGGGCTGCTATAGCCTGCCTCTGTTGTTCTGATGAACCCAAGTCCTACCCCTCCTCTTTGGTGCTGGTTGTTTATGAGGAAGTGTAGGTGGGTTGGTCACAAGCATTAAGAACCCAAGCTAGCACAAATCTATTTCCCAGGTTCTTTCCTACTTTCTCCTCGAAGCCTCCCCACCTCAATCAGGAAGTGACTTCAGACCGGCAGGATGCAGGTGGCTCCGGATAAACTTCGTGAAGTCACTGGTTCCTACACAATGAGCCGGAAGGCTGGGGCAGGGAAGGGAGAGCAAGGACCATTGAGGACTAGTGGGATGGAACAGTGCAGTGAACACAGAATCTGAGTTATTAGTTTCCAGAACCTCTTTCCAGGTCCCTGGGTACCCCCCACCCCACAACACACACACAAACCTCGGACACAACAGATGGTACAAAGAAAGGCTTCTTTATTCCAATGATCTGAACTTGCAGAGTCTAACATCTCGCCCCCGGCACTTCCCATGTGCCCATCCAGTCTTCTAAACAGAAATCAAATCACCTTCTCAATCCCTCTGTCGGCGCCCCCGTCCCCCAACATACACAGTTCAAGTCTGCATTCAGGTGATAGGGGAGTTAAATGGGGACGGGAAAAATGAATGGCTTTCTCGCCTGCCCCCAGCTGCTGGCCACCAGGACTGGCTTAATTTTCAGGAGTCTCTGCCCTACAAGTTCAAGTTGTTTTACCGTTTACCCAAGTCCTATAATCAAATAGGTCCCAGGGCAACAGGAGCAGGACTATAAATCAAAGTTCCCAAATACTAACGTCCTAGACACTCCATCTAACCATGGGACTCCATCCCTAACATCTTTATCTACATGTTCTACACCAGAAACTGCAGCCCTCAACCAACCTTGTAACACTACCTGGTAACTTGTTCAAGTGGAAGGGGCTTTGGCCAATCCATCAGGGAAGCTTTGAAGGCTTTTAAATATGTAATTCCAGCAATAATCCCCAATGACAACAAATGCAGCACAGCAGGCAGCTCCCTTCCTTCCCGTGTAAAGTCCTAGTACATTCACCAGTCCCAGACAGGAATGTAATGATGAGCAGTCTGAGTCTCAGACTCAAGATTTTCTAAGGTAAGAAAGCTACCAAGCACCCATGAAAGATGAAGTTTTTGGAATCTGGACACTTGCCAGAAGCTGTCCCAACACAAAACAAACAAACAAAACATATTCAAAGAAGATGGGCATATTGAGTCTCAAGGGACATTCAACCCCAGGTGCTCATGCAATAAAGAATTCCTCAGACTCAGTCAAGGAATGTCATTAATTCTCTCCAGGTCATAGCATTCTCAGAAACCAGAGAGATAAGAAAATGTCTCATAATCTCTAGTAAGGATCTTCAGGTCTTTCCCCATGGAGATACTAAATCAGGCCCCGTGAGAGGATTATGGGTTCAGGGCAAACCCTTAGGCAGGCTTGGTCTGATGGGTGGATATGGTGCATTTGAACCCAGGCAAATAGATCAATGAGGCTGTTGATGCTGGGCCTTCTTGCAGGAGGACTCCAGCCCCCACCTTCCCAGCCTTCAGGAGGAATTTATTATCTACATTTTGGGTTCATCAATAAAGGTTCTCATCACCCTCAAGAGCTGGAAGGTTCTTTCCATGGCTGGCCTGCTACAGGACTTGCACCATCCAAAATACCAGAGGATTCCTTACCCAATCTTACATGTTCTCAGGCTTAGCCCAGGAAAACTAAAGGTTCCAGTTCTAGAACTGGAGGGATAAACCACCAAGCAAACAAAGAGAGGAAAAGAAAGGACAATTCCAGAAAGTTAAAAAAGAAAAACAAAACAAAACAAAAAAACAACAACAACTTAAGACACTCAAGCCAAAGGCGAGTGAGACCGAAGTGCTAGGTGCCTCTGCCAGCAGAGTGGTGCCCTTGCCTTCTGTGTTTCCAGTCTTTCTTGATCACACCTGTGGAAGAGGAAAGTTGGAAATGCAAACAGAATAAAGGCCCTGGTACCAACCACAGGCCTCAATAAATTATATTTACAGATAAACCATTTGAAATGGAGGGAGAAGCTCCCTTAAAGAGAGCAAGTCCCTTGTGTCTCTCCTTTGTGTCCCCAGCCCCTAGCTACCCAACCTGGATTGTGAGGAAGAGGTTTTGACCAGCAAAACAGAGGCAGATCTAGCCAGGATCTGCCACCCCTGCTCTCCCCCAGTACGAAATTAAGGAGTCAGCAGTTTCTGATACCAGGGTGGCCCGGCACACCCCCATATCAAGACCATCAGGGAAATCAAGCCTGAGTATACAGCTTTCACAGCCCCTAAGGAGCGAATGGAGTTTCGATGGGGGGACTCAGCTACGGTCCCCCGAGGATGTGGTAGCGCACTTTAGTGTTGGTAGCAGCCCCGTGTTTCTGACGGAGATGCAGCCGCAGTTGACTCTTGTGCCGGAAATGCAGGCCGCAGGGGTCACACTGTGGGAGGACAGGTCTGTCAGGTCCCAACCCTTCCACAACCACCTTTTAGGGACAGGAAGGGGAACTGTCCAGCTCTCCGCTAGCAATCAGCCTTTTGGCAATCAGGCCCTTCTATTTCCTCTGGGGGCGCCAGGGAGATGGGCCTTGCCTTACTTAACAAAAGCATCAACACCTTGGAACAACAGCATCTAGTCTAGGTACATAACTAACCCTATCCCTCTCCCGGGTGCAAGCCTCTGATTCACTAGGACTCTTTAGGCTGTTGCTCATTTCCAAGAAACCTAGCATCTCTGGCAAGACTCGCCCCAGCGTATATGAGGGATAATTCCGTGATTAGGCTGTGTAGGGTACCCACGTGGTATGGCTTCTCCCCGGTGTGGATGCGAACGTGGCTTTTGAGGGTCTGTAGATGGCGGAAGCGGGTGCCGCAGGTGGGACACGGATAGGGCTTCTCTCCGGTGTGGATGAGCACGTGTGCGCGTAGGTGTGCCACCTGAGGGGCAGAGCCTTGAGATCGCCTCGGGGAGGGGCGGAACCCTCTTTGCTCCTCCTACTCGCCTTCCAGCCCCTCTCCTTACCTGAACAAAACGCGAGCCGCAGGTCTCACACTTGTATGGCTTCTCTCCAGAATGGATGCGGCTGTGTGTTTTTAGGTTAGCAGGTCGGTTAAAACGTGCTCCGCAGATGGAGCAGCGGTAGGGCTTTTCCCCTGCAAGTAGGAAGCCAGTCAGATCGCCCCACGGAGAGTGGTGGGCACGAAGACCAAGACCCCCTCCTACCTGTGTGCACTGTGCGGTGACTAGCCAGGTTGCCCTTATAACGGAAGGAGGATCGGCACAGCTGGCATTTATAGGGCTTGTCCTCATCCCCTGGAGCTAAGGGCTCCAGCCCCGATGAGCACCCAGTCACAGCCTCACAGTTCTGACAGCTGAAAAACTCACTTCCTAAGAAGGATGAGGAACAGTGACAATCTTAGTTATTTACTGAGGACTCCCCAGGTACCCATAAATCTACAACAGTACACTAATAGGGTCTGTTGGCCTTTTTAACCCGTCAATTATTGCGGAGGCTCCTGGGGATCATTTGGCTTGCTCATGGCCATCAGTCAGTAAGATATGTCTGATTTAGTAGCATGCTTCTCATTTCTTTTGTTTTTTCAAGACAGGGTTTCTTTGTGTAGCTCTGGCTGTCCTGGAACTCACTCTGTAGACCAGGCTGGCCTCGAACTCAGAAATCTACCTGCCTCTGCCTTCCAAGTGCTGGGATTAAAGGCCACTGCCCGACTAGCATGCTTCTAATTTCAATAGTGCTGACAGTATGTGGAGGTTCTTACAAGTGGGTGGAAGTTTCTGTTTCTCTCCTGTCTTGCCTCACTCTGGGTGACAGCCTGCCAGAGAGACCCTGCCAAACTCTGGGCAGTTCGTTCAGTCCTGGATTGGGCTAGGCCAGACATTCCCAAACTGTGCTGCTTTTTGGAAGTACATGGAGAGCTTAAAAAATATTTATGATTGGTCCTCACTCTCAGACATTCTGACTGATGAGGTGAAAGTTTCCCAGAGGGGGGTCCGATTGCAGTCAACTTTGCGAACTATGAAGTAGGCCTATTCTGAGGTCTTTTGGTCCAGATCGACCTGGATCAGCTACAGGAGAGAAGCCAGAAGAGAAAGCCTCTTACCTGGTGGTGGATGAGCCTGCTTAGAAGTTGGCAGAGAAGACTCTTGAGCCCGGGGTGTGAAGAGGTAGGAGTTATTTGCTGGAGTTCCACATTTGAATCGTGCAGTGGTATTAGCTAGCGATAGTCTTGGCAGATGGTAAGAGCCATAGAAAAGGTTAGGGATTGGGGGTGGGGCATTGGCTCCCCCCCTTTTCTGGAAAATACAGACTTCAAAGCCTATCTTATGGAAGTGAACTAACACTGATCATTAAGTCCCACCCCACTCTGGCCTTTGGCCAACTCCCGAAGGTGGGTTAGTATCTCTGAAACCTGGCCCAGATGGTGGCTCTGCTTTCTAGAGTAGGCCAGATTCTAAAACTCTTGGGAATTATAGATTCTATACCTGCTCTGGAGAGCAGGCATGGCTCCTTCTTCGCTGCTGCTGCTGCTGCTGCTGCTGCTGCAGGCTTCGTCTCCACTAGGAAGCCTGGCTTGGGGGCGAGGCTGACCAGAACTCTCTCCAACCAGGCTTCCTGCTTGTGAGGTCTGAGAATTTAGCACAATAAATTTGTACTTTTTCCAGTTGCAGGCCTTGGGGTCTGGACTGGCTGGACTTGGGGAACCTTGACTGCAGCTTCGAGACTCAGTAGGTGGGTCTGGGTGTCCTTCTGAGCGCCTGGGACTGCCCGGTGGAGGGACTGTTGGGGGTCTTGGGGGTTCTGCCTCCATGGGTCGCAAGGAGATGCCTAGAGGTTCATAACTAGAAAAAGTACGATGGTCATTAACACTGTTTCCTAATCGTTGCCTTTGCCCTTATCCCGGGCACTACTTCTGCTAGGGAGAACACAAACCCATGGTTCCTTCACCTGGCCTGGATGAAACGGTGACATGCCTGGACGACGTGTTCCATCTGCAAATAGGTGGCAGCTGCAAGGACAGCTGGCGCAGTGGCTGGAGAAAGGCGAAGCCTTGAAGTATACATGAAGTCCAGAAGAGGAGCAAAGCCTCTGGCTTCTGGCCCCCCAGGCAGAGAGAGTACATCCACTCCGACTCCCGCTCGGCCCCGGAAAATTGAATAGAAGAAGCCACTGGAGAGAGGACATGGGTCATGTTAGAAGCTGGGAGACCAAAGGAGGGTCTTACCACCCCACTAGCACTGCTGCTCCTATTTTTGTATGCTCTCCCAAGCTTCTCTTTCCACCCTTCTCCCCACTTCTGACTCTCCAGTTCTGGGACTGCAGGTGTGGACCACTATTCCCTGCTTCCTCATGCTTAGGATTACCTCTCAACGGCCATCTTACTCTGTTCTTTACCCAGTTAGTCCCCGGGAGCCCTACCCACTCGAACCTGCAAGCGATAAGAACTGCCTTGTGCGCTCTTAGGGGTTGCCCGCCAACCAGCAGCGTGACGTCAGTGAGGATCCCGCGCAGGCGCAGCTCATTCAGATTGCTAAGCACGTCGGAGGAGTGGCGGGTGAACTCTCGGACGTAGCCCACAGCTCCCTCTGGGGCCGCTGTGGAACCCATAGCGACCCAGGCCTGCACCAGGCACCGAAAAAGTTAGTGGATCCAGGCATTACTAAAACAGATTCCCTTCTTCTCTGAAGGTTTCTTCCTGGGATACCTCTAGAGCCAACGCCATCAGATAGCGGGCCCAGCATCGCTTGCCCCACTTAATTCCTCTCGTTCATCCTGCCCTAAACGATCGCTTCCTTCCCTTTGCTGGATAGCAGAGATCTTGGAGCAAGTTAGAAATTCTCGTACCTCCGCCTGGAGGGCGAGCGTAAGGAATCCCGCACTCCCATGGGCCGTTGGTTCGACTCTAATAGTTACCTCATCCACTACCTTCCTTTCTTCTGCTTCCCGGGCGCCTGGGTCACAGGTACCTGGGATCTCACCTGGGGACCAAATGTGATCTGTCGCCCACGCCCCTACATGACTCCTATCGCTAGACCCAATACTCCCCATCTTTTTGGTACAATTTCTGGTATTCAAGTCGTATTACCATCAACTAACCCCAAGCCCTCATTGGAGACTCAGAAGTCTGATACCCTCAAGGTCTGGTTCTTACCCCTGTCCTGCAGGGGCTGCAGCGTCTCCTCTCGAGGGGGGCGGGGTCTCTCTCCTCTTTCGGTCTCTGCTCCTTTATTCGGCCGGGATGGCGGGGGCGGGGGTGGAGGTGGGGTGAACCCGTGAGTCCGTATCCTTCCTTCCTCTGTGGCTCTCCAGCTGGTGAGCCCGGGGCGGGGTCTCTGTCTCAAACTGTATCTCAGAATCTCGGGGTAGTCGTATCGTGGATGGCTTTGGTTCATTAAATAAGCACCCGAGGATGAGAATATTAGAATTGGGGAGGAAGTTAGTGATACGGAGAGTGGTAATATGGGAGCTCTGTGTTGTTGGAGGACCTAGGACAGCGAGAACTGGAGTGTTGGGCTTTGGAGGCAGGTGACAACAGCCAGTTGAGGGAGAAAGGAAATATCCTAAAACTCCTCTTTCCAATGTATTGGATTCAGGAAGAAAATAGACAGTCCAAATGATATCAGGTTTGGGGAGGCATTAGTGGGTTCCCGTGGGGTCTCAGATAGTGGGAGAAGGAGGCGTAATTGAAAGGCAGGGTCCAGAAAAAGGGGAGGTGGGGTTCTGACCAGGCGGGGTAAGGAGAGGGCGGATATGATTTCTAGTTCGTTTCCTTCCATTGTCCTGAGACCGGACGGCTCCTGCAGCTGCTTCCCCTCGAGGAGGTGGGGAAAACCCCGGGTGGGGACCGAGAGACGCTCGGGAGACCTAGGCGTCCGGCTTCTTACTCTCGACTCTCTTCTCAACCCTTATAGGGATCCAGAGAGACAGACTCCCGCCTAAAGCCCTGACGCTCTCCATCAGTTCTAGCTCACTAGGGCTTCGAGCACCCGCCCGTCGGCTACGCTTAGTGTTTGGCGGGACGCCGGGGTCCAGCGCGGCAAGTAGGCAAAGCTCCGCAATGTCTGCATCCTTCCACGAGAGGGCGGACGAGCACCAGCCTCGCTTCGCCCCTAGGTCTCCGGGCTGGAGATGTGCTCAGACCAGCTAGCTGGATGCATTCAGTCCAGGCTACAGGAAACCTTTAGCTGCCTTCTTTCTGATAGTTTCTTCTGCACCTCTGTCTCTTAGTAAGGCAGTAGGTAAAAGACAGAAAAGTTAGGGTCAACGCAGGAAACTCAGGCTAGAACTCTTATGGAAGACTTTGGAATGAATATAGTGATTAGGATGAGGTGGGGTCTTGAGCCTGGGAACACAGAGCTTTGAGTTTTTTATTTTCTAATTTGATAGGCACTGCTACCCAGATGTCTGTCGACATGAATTTTCAATGAACATTAATATGAACGTTGGTCGGAGTAAACAGAGAGGACAGAGGAGAAAGGGCAGGGGGAACCTGGTAACTAAGAACTCAATCCAGAAGCTAGGCAGGGTCCACACCCTTAGATTTTGTCTGGGGAGGCTTGAGGTAGGGGTACAAGGTTCCTTTGAAAAAGAGGGGCAGAGCTGAGCCCAGATATGAAGCAGAATCTCTTTGAGTATGGGGTTAAGAGCACAGAAGTTGAGCAAGAATGGACCTGCATATGTAGGCCTGAGGCCTCTCCCTTCTGTTCTTGGGGGTGGGGTACATTTTGTTTATTTTACTGGTTTTGATTTTTTTTTTTTAAGCAGACACACAGCAAACAAAACCACAGACCACCTGGGGATTGGAGATAGCTAGGGTCTCTGGATGATGAGGTGGCTTTACTTCGTGAAGATTATTTGGTCTCCAATTTTCATCTCCAATTTTGAGGTGAAAACATTAAGGGCTCCCTTTGATGTCAGGATGGAGTTAGCTATTCGGAGTTTTGGGGTGTCATCTGCCATAGAAGTTATTATAGTCAATAAGGCTTGTTTTTAGTCTCGAGAGCTGATAGCAAATTGGAAGTGCTGGGCTGGTTTTAAAGTTGTCTTAGTTGGCAGAGGGTGGGTGCGGGGAGGGGTCTGATGCTCACATTTGAGACTGTCCATCTCTGCTACTTTGATCTACTGAGAGAGCATGTGTACTCAACTGATTTGGGGGCTATCGTGTGGTTTCAAGATTTGGATGAGATTGTTTGGTGACATAAAGGTCACTTTGGGGCTTTTTAGAGAGCACAATTACATTGAGTTGGAGGCAGAGCAGGAAGCTAGGAGCGAATTTGAAGACTTTCTGTAGTTGAGGGCTTGATGGGGGCAAAGTTTTATATTTGAACCTTGTGGAAACTAATTTTGAGGGTAGGATATTCCTGTGTACATGTTTAGGTGTGAAACTCCTCCAGAGGAGGAACTGTGAGAAGCTCCCCCCCCCCAGGGTAGAAGGATAGTTTGGGGGTGTCCAATTTCTGGGTGTCTTGTCACTGGCCACATTTGGTGAAGCTGAGAGACGGATCATAAATTGAAATCGATTCGGAGGTTCACCTGTTCTAGAGCACACTTCTGATTTAGGTTATCTTTGGCTGAGAGTCCCCTCTCGACCCAGATTGTTAAAAAAAATTAGTGAACCCCCAAATAAGGCCAGAATTTGAAGGGCAAAGCCTGGAAAAAGCAGTATGTTCCATCATAGATTTATTAGTATTTGGCCTTTTTGAGCTGAGAGGGGGGAAAAGTGGTTTCATACTCTGAACCCCGATTTCTTATGGAAGAAAAAATCCGTTTGGAGGAGATGGGGTGTCTCTTGTTAAAGTGGGTGCTTTCTGACTAACACAGTGCTGCTGAAACTGGCAAGGAGGGGCTGTGGTGGTCTACAAGGGGGTGAATCTTGTACCCTGATTTTTTAGGATAAGAGCCCCAAAGAGAAAGCAGACAGAGGATTTGGAATGAGGGTGAACTGAAGGGGGAGGGGTTCCCAACGGCAGCAGGGGCTAGAGGGTAAGCCAGGCCAGATATTCCCGCCTAGGTCCCTGTTCTCTTCGGCTCTCCTCCCCTCTCTCCCTCCCACCGCCCACCCCCCCAACTCAAGGAAAAAAAAAACTGCCTGTGCAATAGCAATGGCAGATTCCAGTCCTCCAGGCTTTCCTAAACCACCACCGAGACCAGCCAGGGGGGAGGGGAGGGGAGGGGAGGATCGGGCTTTCCTGCTTCCTTGAGACAGGGGCAATGAGCTTGACCTCTTGGCCCCTAGCCCTCTAAAGAGTGTCCCCCGGTCTGGAAGCCAGGTGTCCTGGACCCTAGCCCCCAAGCGGGGGGGCCTGGAGAAACGGGGAGGAGGAAGGAGGGAGTGACTTCCAAAATTGGCATCGGGACAGAGCAGGGCTGGCGGGAGGCAGGAGAAAGACAGAATTTTCCTGAAAAAACGGGGGTATCTAAGGACCCCAAATTTGGGTGGCTAGTTCAGGACCGTCTTCCCAACATCCTAGATTTTTTGGGGATTTTTTGGGGGCCCCGGGACCTCTCTAGATGGGGTGAGGAATGTAGTGTTGGGGGAATCTGACTGGGGCAATGCAGCTGCCTCTCCCGCCGAGTTGGAGACGGATGGGCTGGGACGGGTTTTGGGGGGGTGTCCCCAGTTCTGACTGGGAGTGGAGGAACCCCTCCAGAGCTCTCTTTTGGGGGTCCCCCTCTCCAGGGCACTCCCCAGTCCTTGAGCCAGCTGAGAGGAAGGAGGCCAGCGATGCGACTGGGGCGTCTCTTTTCTCCTGCACCCCAAATGTGAGGGATGCACCCCCAAATTTGCTCCTTTCAAAATAGGGGACCAGGATCTCAGGGGAGAGTAGCTGAGGTAAGTGGGGAGGAAAGTGTCCCCTGTTTTCAGGAGAGACGTGGCGGTTGGGGGGGAGGTTTGGAGGTGCGTGGTGGGGTGGGGTTGCGCCTTGTAACTCTTGGAATTGGGGGGATGACCAGAGAAGCTTCCTCTTGTACCCCTAAGATATAGCACCTCATATTGTAACCAAAGCTTGAGACTCGAGAACCCCCCAATATCCCCAGACATTAAGATAGTGTTTGATTTTTTTTTTCTTACCCCCCACAAAAGCTTTCCTGGGATGGGAGCTGGGGGCAGCAGTTGTTTCTGGAGGCCCTGGAGGGCGCAAGGAGCAGGAGGCCTTGGCAGGGCTTGATATAGGAGACTTGGTAGTCTTGGAGAGGGTCTGGCATACTAGGGGGGCCTAAAAAGATAGCTTACACACACCATCTTAGATCTTTTGATTGCTGAGAGTTTTGGGGGGTGTGTCGGAAGCTTGGTGGAGCTAAAAGGTGGGATGAGATTCGGGAGGTTAATATCTGGGTTTTACAGTTTTGTTTTGTTTTGAAATTTCCAGAAGAAACTTTTGCCTTCTGGGAGGTTCTTTTTAAAATCAAGTCTTGGACAGGAGGAAAGGGCTAAGGGAAGGCCTAGTGTTGGGGGTGGGGAAAGGCATGTTTGTCTTTGCTTAAACGTGGCTCTCAGGGGTGGGCCTGCCTGCCTGGGCCTGGTAAATGGGCTAATGAGTGTTGCTGTGTGGGTGGGGCGTGGGTCTTGGGGGACCATGGGGAATGGAAGCAGCTCTTGGGGTTGAATACTCTGCCCTCTGGTCCAGATGAGGCTCTTCCTGGGCTCTGCTGCTCCCCTCTCTCCCTGGCCTCCATTTCCTGCCTTTGGCCTCCATCTTGTGGCAGGCCCAGGGCCCAGGGCGACTTCCGGCCCCCCTCTCTCAACCGTGTTCCAGCCCCACCACCTCTGGACTGCCAACTCCCAACCCTGCTGTCCTTGGCCCGTCTCTTCTAGCATTTCTCTTGGGTTCTGACCTAGGGAGGGAGGGATGGACACAGGAAGCCTTAGGTCCCTGCCTTTGTCGGGAGGCAGTTTGTTGGGTCTTCCCCAGTCATCCCCTATTTCCTCTGCCACTCTCCTAAGGAGCCCCAGAGCTGAATTCCTACAGAGGTAAAGAATGTTCCAAACTTATCACATTGAACTCATCTTCCAGGGCCCTATCCCCCTGTTGCCTGCTAAACTACTTTTACTGGTTCCTGATTTTTTTCCCAGTGTTTTGGGGGACCATGTTTGCCATTCACACCTCCATCTCACTCTTGGTGGGGGTCTTCATGGTGCTGTCTGTCTTCCTCTCGACACACCCCAGTCCTGCTCCCGCCCCAGCAGCACACTGTGGTTTGTACGGCATTGTGGCCACGTCCAAACCACACTGTGGTGTTAGAGCGAGGGTATGGGAGGCACCGCTGAGGCCTGGCCTTGGGAGGCCACCTTGGAGAAGCAAAACACACACACACACACACACAGAATCACACACACAATCTAGGGTACTGTGATAAAGTTCTTGCAAGGTGGGACAGGAGACACTGGAAAGAGCCCCTCTAAAATCCCCAGGTAGGCTGATACTAGTTGTCAGGAACCCTGGGAATGAGTTCTGGGCCCACAGAGCAAAGTAGAGTCTTTGTTGCCCACACCCAACTCTTCTGGCTCTAGCAGCACAGAAATATTGGCATGGGGAAGTAAGTCTGCCAATATTGGCTGTGCTGCTCCAGGCAGGGTGGTGCGAGCTACTGAGAAGGGGCCGCGCCCCCGAGGGCGAAGGAGAGGAGAGGGAACAGCAGCTGGCAGCACCATGCAGAGAGATTTTTTTTTTAATTATAATTTTCTGTATAAAAACGTCCATCAGACAGAAGTCAAAGGGTGAGGGCACATGGTTATCAGGAACAAGGTGGACAGCTCTGGCAGCTCTCTGACCCTCTCTCATGCAGTCCTTGCTTAGAGTCCCAGGTGATCCACAGGTCCAGGGTGAACAGTGAGGGTCAGAGGTGGCAGGCTCAGCAGGACAGCAGAGGAGCATCAGCAGAGGTGGAGAGAAGGCCAGAGTCCAGGGTCAGGCTGTCTGGAACAGGAAGGAAAATGGACAGAGATGGAGCAAGCACAGAGTTTTCCAAGAAAACCCTTACCTCCTCAAACGTCCTATTACTAACTGACCCAATTCCCTGCACTGAATCTTCCTTCTGAGGCCCCTGCACCAGAAAGGGGCTTCTGCTGGGACCCTCCCCTACCATCCAGGTAAGTACTTTCCCCACCCCAGCCAGAGTGGGAGGAGGAGGACTCCTACCCTTGTCAAAGTTGAGTTTCTTGGCTGGAGGAGTTTCTCCTAGCCCTTCGACATCCACCAGGTCACTGTTGGCGTCGGAGTCGTTCAGAGCACTGAGTGTCACATCTGGGAGGGGGCATAGGCTAGGTTCTAGGTTTCCCTGACTGCTTTCTTTCCCTCCTCCCAGTTTGCCAAAGCTTCATGCTCTACACAACCCTCTACCCGCTTTGGAATCACCAGAGTACAGAAGAGAGGTCTCTCCTCCTTTGACCCAGGCCCACGTCTCTTACTGAATCTCAGATAGGACCTTTAGCCCCTACCCTAGGCAGCAACTCCACAGCCCTCACCAGGCTTCTGTTTCTTTATGGGAGGAGCCCCAGCTTCAGGGACACTGGAGCTGCTGGGTGGAGGGGCGTTTGGAGGTGAGAGGACACTGGATGTCATTTTCTTGGGTCCTTTCTTGGGTGACTCAGCTGGAAGGGGGACGCCGGAGTCTTCATACACCTTTCGCTTCACAGTGGTCTTTATCTGAGCCCTGAAGATGAGAGAGAGATTAGGGTGTCATCAGAGAAGCTGAGGGAAGGGGGAAGGGGAGGGAATAATGGGCCAATCTGAAGAAATTCTAAGAGTTCCTTTGTAAATATCCAGGTCAAGGCCCTAATTCATGTGTAATACGTGTCCTCTTCCCATACACACCTTCAGAACCTTTGCATCCACTTAGGGCTAATGGATTAGGATGACTGGGGTCCCTGAACCAAGTGGCCAGAAAGGCCCTTTTCATGACCCTCTGGGAGAGATGGATGGATTTGTAGAACCACCAGGTATGTTGTGGTGACATAAAGGTAGACTGAGACCTTGTCGTAGAACCTGACCAACTAATTAGTTCAGAATGCATCCCTGGACATGCTAGTCTCAAAGAATTTATATAAACAGCCAGGGAACTCTCATCAAACACACCCACTGAGTATCTGGGTACCATAAAAATAAAATTCTCTGTAGGTCCTAGTGACCACTGCATCCGACCAACTGCCACAATTAAGGTCTTTCAGTCTTCAAGGAAATGCTAACAAAACTAGGAACGAAGTAGGAAAGATGCTGAGCTGGGAGTTCTGAGAAAGAACAATGGGTAAAGAGGAAGAAAGTTGCCCACCCTCCCCGTTCTCGGCCAGCCACCCTCCCTCACACTGTCCGTTCCTTGATGACACAGCTGATGTGATTAAGATCGTCCCCAAATCGCTTCACAGCAGCCCTCAGCATCTCTATCTCCGTCTCCGTCCACTTGGCACTGTCGGAAGGGGAGAAGGGTGATAGCAAAAATGGAAGAGGAATGTGTGGAACCAGCCCACTGGCTATTCCGTCCACAGCCAGCAGCCTCTTCCCCCTAGTCTCTAGGGGCACCTTTCAAAGATTCATAAAAAGGACCTCCTTAAAAAAAATAAAAAGCCCTGGGGACAAACTGCTAGCCACATGAAATTGCATCCAGGGCCACTTGAAAACATCTCTTCATCATGTAACAGCTTCCATAAACAACCCACGGAAACCAATGCAACAAGTAGGGGCCTTACAAACAGAACCCTTGACAGATGTGTAGCAGCAATTTGAGGGAGTCCACAAAGCTTGGGACAGGTGGCAGACAGTATGTCGGTTTGCAGCGGAGGGCTGTGGACTCGGTGGTATCTTTACCTGTCATTCATTAATTCAACAACACCACCTACACTGCGCTGGGCCAGGCACAGGAATTAATATATCTCCCTGCTCTAGAGAGGGTCGTGTCTGTGACTGAGTCCAAGCGTCTGCTCTCGGCGTCCAGGTCCTAGGCTGGTATCACGTACCCGGCAGGGGAAGAGTCCGATACTGGATGCAGCTGCATCGTTAACTCCCCGAGCTTCGTAAAGGCGGCGCCGGCCGCCGAGAAGATCTCTCCAACCTGGGGGCGGAGCAGCATTACGGGGGGCCGGCAGCGCGCCGTCCCACCCCAGCCTCGGATCCGCCCGCCCCCCGCCCAGCGCGCACTAGCCGGGAGCCAGGCAGGGGGCCCACCCTCCCGTGGCCGCCAGGGAGCGCAGTCCGCGAGGGAGGTCGAACCTTGGTGGACGCTGACGTCATGGCCCCGCGCACCTCCTCACGGAGACGCTCCGCCGCCGCCACCACGCGAGCTGGAAACCACGGAGAGCCCGGCAGCCGGCCGCTCTGGCTCCCGCGCAGGAAGTCCCGCCCTTCTTGCAGCTGATTGGCTGAGACCTGACCTCACCCCAGTCACTCAAGTTGCCTCGCTGCGCGGAGGAAGACGAGGTGGAAGACGTCGCTCCACTTCCGGCTTGCTTCATTCCACTTCCGTCGGAGGGTTCGGACTCCTCGTTGAGGCCGGTCTGAGTCCTTCAAGCCCAGGCCCGCCCCCTCCCCGAAAGCACAGACACCAAGCTTAGGAGAACCGCTTCTTTTTATTGTAGTTCAGAACAGGGCGCGGTCACCCCCGGTCCCCTCCAGGGGTTGGGCAGCAGTTTTGCAGGGCCAGGGATGACATCTCGCCAGGGAAACAGTCCCAAAGGACGCCAGATGAGTGGGACAGACGGTCTGAGGAGTCTTTAAATAGAGGAGGGGAATGGGGAGGGAGAGTCGGACTGCGCTCTAGCGCACCATGTATTCCTTGCGCTTGTTGAGACGAACTTGGCAGAAGGAGAAGCCTCCGAGGAGGAGGTAGAGGCCCGCGGCGATGAAACAGTTGTAGCTGACTTGCTCATACAGGTTGTATATGTTCTGAGGGCCGTTCCTGAAGGTGGCGAGTAAGCAGGGACATATCAACCATTCAGAGCATCCAATACGCAAGTCCTATGTATCAGACACCATGCTAAAGCACTTTAACTTCCATTAGTCTTCCCGAGAATCATATCAGATGAGCTCTATCATGGTATCCATTTTACAGAGGTAGACCAAGGAGCAGGAAGGCAAAATATTGGAAGAGGCCACATCTAAGCCGGTGGGCTTGGGGTACCCACGGAAACCTGGCTTGCAAGACTGATCCTAAGTCATATATTCTCTCTCTCTCTCTCTCTCTCTCTCTCTCTCTCTCTCTCTCTCTCTCTCTCTCTCTCGTGCTGGGGATTG